GGAATCATCTTCTATTTGAGCATTCTCATGTTACCATGGCACACTTTAGGCGAGCAGATTTGCCCTTGCTTGCAACCACTCCCAAAGCAGACAAGTCGATCTAATATATGAGATGTGTTCACCATATTTCTTTTAAGGTGATGAAGAACGGTAGTTCAATTCTTCCACAATCATATGAGTAGACCTTACATTTGGCTTAACCTTGCCTTCTCAAAAGGTATTCTCATCCCGCCTCGAGCGGACTACAGTTTTGACCTCACCTGAGACGGTACCATCAGCACCGCCAGCAGAACTCGAACTATGACAGTGCCGCGAATAGTCTACGCCTCATTGTAATGAATGCCCTTAGGTCAGACGGCAGATGTGAATTGCATGATTGGTGTGATTGTCGATGAGGCTTTCCATTTTAACGCATTCACACACAAACGGGCACACATATACACATGATCTAAACTAGCAAATTATTGTATACTTTATGAAATGTAGGAATAATACCATGTTATGGTTATGTCTGTAGTACGACAAACGAAAGCTTGACATATCGTAACATGACTGTCCATTTCGAAGGAAAAGTTGGTTGGAAGGAATTCGTGATTGGGTCGCTCCGGAAACCGAAGGAAGATTGCCGCGCAAGGAAGACTGTCGTATTTTGTGAAGAAGTCCTCGGTCTACCCTCCTTCGACCGGGATAAAACTGTGCTAAGCTTTTGTCTGTACTGTGACAGACATAATCAGGGCAGGTACCCACACTTCACGAAATAGAGCAAAAATATACTGGACCAATACGGCAACGTTAGTCGCGTTTTTATGCACATAAATTCGCGAAATTTGTGAAGTTGACCTCGTTGTCACAACTTGGTCTTGTCGTCAGGGCGACTTAATAGAACGCACCTAGTCCGAAGTAGTTGTCATGATTCCCAGCATCAAACAATGGACTTGGTACATTCTTAAACGTTTCGCCGGCATCGTAGTCGGCAATATCAGTGAGTTTTGCCGGCGAAACGTTTGAGAATGTACCAAGTCCACTGTCTGATGCTGGGAATCATGACAACTACTTCGGACTAGGTGCAGTCTACTAAGTCGCTCTGACGACAAGACCAAGTTGCGACAACGAGGTCTACCCACTTCTATGCATCGTGAGGAGGCTGCGACCATACCAGAGGCCACAACATCTTGGTCTTCATATCTTCAACTCCATGAATGAAGCTACTTTCCCAACCGGAAGTGTGTTCGGTGGCATCTGTTTCTTTACACAAGTAAACTGCTGTATAATCCTCTAATGTTGAATCATGCTGGGCTTGTGCTGTTGTCTATTGTGGATATACAATGTTCATCTCATAAGACGTGTAATGGTGCTAGCTTGACCTTCCTCTAATTAAGCCTATCCAACAGCCACAAATAGTTCCTACTCTTCTTTTTACACTCGTTCCTCTTTTTCAGGACGCCGGCCATTTTGATTACTTCTGTAGACTCCCCAATCATACGCTTTAACGTGAAGTCCTCGTAACCCACGAAAAGTTGTATTTTGGACCAGTCTATTAAGTGTCCTGTATTGGTCATATGTTCAGTGAGCTCAGATTTTTTGACCCGCCGACCCTTACAATCGGTTTTGTGCTCATAAAGTCTCTTCTGGATGGATCGGCATGTCGCCCCAGCAACGCGACAATTCTCCTTCAGTCTACGGCGAGACTATATCACGAATTCCTTTCGACCAACTTTTTTTTTCAAAATTGACAGTCATTTGACAATACATCACTAAGGAATTATTCGAAACTCACTTTTATTCATATCTTATAGTTACTATGACAATCGACTACATTTCTGATTTTTTTGTTTATAACTCACTTCTGGCAGTCTCGAAATACTACTTATAAACGAAAAATAGACAACGACAATGAGTCATCGACAATCCCACCAAAGAATGTAATATGGCGGAATGCCTGGGCGTCCTTTAAATGCACACTTGTCCAGTGACCCAAGGGCACTCGTGGCAATGCGGCATAGTGCTTTAAGCGTCGAGATTGCACGTTGAAATGTCATGGTTCGAGTCCCGCTGTGGGTGCTGAGGAGACCAAAACGAGATCAAAAGTGCAGTCCACTTCAGCCTGGATGAGAATACCTTTTGGGAAAGCAAGGCTCTGTGGGAAAATTGAACGACCACTTCTTTATCACCTTGAACGAACTGGGATGAATACATCTCATGTCGTCTTCGTCTACTTTTGCCTCCCCTTCCCAACGAGCTCATATAATCATAACCGAGATATCAGGTGAGCAAGGGCGTAAATTCGACGCGATTTCATCATTTGTTGTCGGTATTTATGCGTACCACATTAAAACGCTACACCCAACAGGGTTACGGCTGGGTGTGAATTACAATTCATTCTCCAAAGTGTAGATTCAACATCGTCCCTTGGTGTTTCTACACTTCACAATTGGTTCGTTCATAAAATGTTATAGCCAACAACTGAATCATCTTCTACATCAGACGGCGGTTTTGACATCACCTTGGCCAAAGTAAGACCCTTCACCTCTTATTCGCATGGTATTTGCTCGCAGCTTCCTGAATTCCGAAATCTCATACTACATTACTGACATAGCAATTATTAGTAGTAGTATTATCCGCAAATTATGACCTAGCTGACTTCCTTTTTGACTGCATGGGCCAGCCCGGTTGTCTGAAAATGTGATGAGGAGATGGTTCAGGCAAAAAAATATGACAAAATGTAGCTTTGTAATTATTAGAAGCCCAATCGTTGTCGAAACGCGCCAATTTCGACGAGTTGAAGCAAAGGTTCAACTTTGCAACATGTCAAAAAGACAAATATCCTCCAGATTCGACGACAGTTTCCATCCCACCTCACCGTCTCCTCAACGTCCAGGTGGGATTCTAGCCGAGGCTTCCCAATTCAAAAACCAACACTTTGCCCGCCTTTCCTTCCCTCCAGGCCACACGAGTCTCAAAAGGGCCCGCCATTGTGACAGCATTTCCATGGCTGCATCACAAAATGACAATTGGGGCTCTTTTGAAGACCGGTCGAAATCGCCACATGCAAATGTCGACTGATGACCATCACAGACAGCCCCCTGCTCACTGTTTTGCTGCCAGAAACATTTTCTTCATGCACGACTAGAATTTTTGTACACTTCCGACTCCATGCTAGAATAGATTGCGTTGGAAATTGGAATTAAATTGAATAGAAACCCATCTGCAGAAAGAGCATCTAGCATCACTTACTTCTCCTATTTTATCTTCTTCATTGTCTCCCCACCTCCTCCATTTTTTCCCTTTCGTTTCGGTCACTATACACGTTTCGTGCATTATTCAACCATTCTTGCAATTCTGCTGGAAGGCAACAATGCAGACGAGCAAAATGAGTTGAATGCTTACTTCTTGTATTTTGGTTGAGTTCCACGTAGTTGGAGAGCAACTTTGTGGTCCAGTAGATCAACTCAAAACTCCATTCGCAGTTGGGCGGATTATCAATTGCCAATTCCCAACTAACAAATTGATTTGTCGTGTTTTCCACATTGCCTATCGTCACGTTGACAACCTGAGCAGGCACTTGAAAAGAAATAAAAATGACGTTAAATGATACGAGTTCATAGTTAGACGTAGACCTTAATTAAATATGCGAAGAAAAGTTGGGTTTCGAGAAATATTCTATTTCATAATTGTTGTGCTTACCTCCATTTCTAGTGAAAGTGTTTGGTGAAGAAATTCCAAGGTCATGCTGACGCTGTTTCCGAAGTAATCTCCTTCGACACACTCACAGGCTTCGAGGTTGACATATGACCGTAACTAACCAA